CTCAACTTTCTAATCTATTTATGCGGAGTTCCAACCTAAATACTGAATGGAAGCAACAAGAACAGATGTCTCTGTGTAGCTCCATCAACAATCCCTCAGCTACACTCTTAGCCAACCAGTGGACGATTGGTAATGTGAATCTGGATGTCACGTTTCATCACTTAACGTTTAGGGGAGTCAACCATCGAAACACTCAATTCACTGTGAATTGCGTTTTATATTTGTGGCACGATGAGAAATACCGGTGTCTACTATCAAGCCTAGCGGTCAGCTATCCTTCGTGTTAAGTGGCGTTCGTCTTCTACGTCCCGTACTCGAGTCCCTCGTTCTCGAGCGGGTGTCATCCTGTGTGCCGTCGTTTACTGTTGCAGAACTGCGGTGCATCCGTACTAAGCACTGTGGAATTGCAGATGCGCTCGTCTTACTTTTTTCTTACCTTCCAGCTACATAGAATGGCAGTGCTGTTTCTTTTACCTTATTACACGATTGTTGGGTAGTAACTGCTGCCGTCTACCTTCATATTGGTGATCCAGCACATCACTACGGTTGGTCGCTAGAGTGAACAACCGTTCGATGGCGTTGATCTGTTCACTTGTCCATGCATTTGATTTATCTTTAATAATAAAGTAACCATTTCGATAATACTTGTACCATTTTTGACCCTCCCATCAGTCTTAGACTCGGTGTATAACACTACAATGAGGTTGAGGTTTCTCTGTTGGTCATCGGCATGATCACTGCGCGCTGATGACGTTCGGGGACAACCGAGGTGGACGTAGAGAATATGGTGCAAATGCCAGATAAGAGATCCGGGTGGCAGTTGGCGATGGACTCTTTGAAGCCGCGTTGAACTGTCTGCTGCACTTAACCTGTCTTGGTCGTGTACTTCGGGTGTCTGCTGATAGCCAAGCAATAAAATAAATGATTAGCATGAGGCAACCAATCTTGTTCCTCAATGTGGTCTGTGCTCGCCGCATTTTTGTTTAGAAGGCCCAAGATTGCCAGAACCGGCGAGTAGACGCCTTATCCCATATCGATTTCGCTGTCATCATAGGTCCTTCCGTCGTTAGACAATCTCAACCTTTTTCTCCTTTCCACATTAACTTCTGTTTTTGCTGTACATCACAACTGCAACACTTTCTAGCGATCAGCTTACAGAGTCTATCTTTCCATGTTCGTCATTTATTTGACGCATCGTGCACGATTGCGGCATTAGCATTTATAACAGCGAATTTCGTCGGTAAACCCCACCTCTGTGTCTCACGAGTTGTCCGCTCTACTGGCTGTAGAATTGAAGACTGGTAGCTCACGTTGTTCAGATGACAGTTGAACTGTTCGCTGGACTTAACAATTTTGTTGTAATCGTTTCCTCACAAATCGAAGTGATATCACCAGTGCTTAGTTGAGTGGTGTGCCTCCGTGAGAGTGCGCTGAGCGTGGTGTGCGTGCGTTTTTTATACCGCCGTGGTTGGCCGTGGGGCCGAGTAATCCTATTGGTTGGTACTTCGGTCCGCGTTCAGCTTGGTTGATGGGCAGATGATCTTTGACCTTTCTCCTTGTGTTTCGTGGCCTTTGTCTGCTTGCGCTTGCGAGCGAGTCTGTCGCCAGTTCTCGTTGCCTAGTCACGTTCCACCGGATTCCATCGATCAAGTTGGCAGTGGTTCGCCAGCAGTGTTGCGTATACTGCGTCCAGTTCGATGTGTCGCTTGGTTGAATGCGTTGTAGTGTACCATTTTTCCAAAACTCCCTCGCGTGTTTTGTACTTCCATGTGCTAGGATTTTTACGTTCTCCAGATCGAAATGGTGGCCTTGATCTTCATGCGCAGAAACTAATGAGTGCGGATCATGTCTTCTGACGGCCGCCTTGTGTTCGTTGATTCGTGTACAAAGCTTTCTTCTGGTTTGTCCGACGTAGTTTTTATCGCAGTCGCTGCATTTTATCTGGTAGATGACATTGCATTTGTCGGTTTGATTGACTTTTCCTTTAGGTCTTGAGATCAATTTCCTTAGGGTAGCACTTGTCTTGTGAGCCACAGCGATTCCATATGACTGTAGCAGTCTTCCTGTTAGTTTGGAGACCTTTTTGATGTAGGGAAGCACTATCCGTTTGTTTGCTCGATAAAATGACTGCTGCTGTTGATGAGACGTTCGTTTCTTTAGGCTTCTTCTGATGAAATTTCTCGGATAACCGTTGTTTCTGAACACATTATATAGGTGCTTTTCTTCCTGTTTCCGCAATTCGGCTGTGCTGCAGTGCGTTTTCGCTCTTTTGAATAGGGTTTGAATGCAGCTCTTCCTGTGATTCATCGGGTGGTTGCTGTGGTAGTTTAATATCTGGTCCGTATGCGTTTTCTTCCGATATACGCACGTTTGCATAGATCCGTCTGTATTCCTAATGACTAGTACATCCAAAAATAGTAGCTTCTTATTCTCCTCTAATTCAATCGTAAATTTGATATCATCGAATGTACTGTTGAGCATATCGTGCGTGGCTTGTACTCTGTTCCGCTTTACGATGACAAATGTGTCGTCCACGTATCGTATCCAGAGTTTTGAGATGATAAATGGCAGTGCGATGCGCTCCAATTTCTGCATTACGACTTCTGCAATGAGCCCCGAAATTGGTGATCCCATGGGTGTTCCTCTCAGTTGCTGGCACACTTGTCCATCAAAGCGGTAATAAGTCGTCATGAAGAGGTTCAGTAGTTCCCAAAAACTTTCATGTCGTATGCTTGTCGTTAAGCTTTGTTGATTCTCAACTAGTTCCATCATAGTTTCTTTGGCCAATTCGTGACCGATTGAAGTGAAGAGTGCGGTGACATCGAATGAAAGCATTATTTCATCGTCTTCTATTCTGACACTCCGCAATTTGTTGAGGAATTGTTCAGTATTGTTGATGCTATATTCGGATCCAGCAACCAAATGTTTCAACCTCGTTCACAAATCCTTCGCTAGTTTATATGATGGGGTTCCGGGGAGCGAGACGATTGGTCGTAGTGGGACTCCATCCTTGTGTACTTTTGGTAGTCCATAGAACAGTGCAATGTTTGTATCATCCGCTTTCATTCTCCATCTCTCCGTGGCGGTGAGCTCGTTCTTTGTTTGTAGTTTCTTCAGCGTTGCGTTAATCTGGTTGACCAGTTCTGAACTTGGATCTTGATCGATCTGGCGATATGTAGTTGCGTCTGATAGCAGTTCTTTGACCTTGTTAATATACTCCGGTTTGTCCATTATCACTGTCATGCGCCCTTTGTCCGCTGGTAGGATTACGTTGTTCTCGTCTTTCTGTCGAGGTCTGAGTGCATCCTGTTCCTCCTTGGCTAGGGTCTGGGTGATTTTATTTCGAGTAAGCACTGGGACAAGGGTCTGCCGTATCTGTTGCTGGGAGTCCTCCGACAGTCCATTTGATTTCAATGCAACTAGATTGGTAACGGTGTTCAGTGCTGGCGAACTTGACACAACCATGGTTAGCGAAATGGGACATCTCATCACTGTGCGCTGCATTTATCTCCAACAGACTGCGATGTTTCCATACCCTCTCTGGGACATGATGCTGAAGCTGTGGAGCCATCTAGGTGAACGTAAGAGGCTTGTGCACAACTTGTGACGTCTCACTTTTCACGACAAGCCCCTTTACGTTTTCTGCATGTCTCTATCTTGAGCGGACACTTGTCTTGCATGAAAGTAATCGGGGAACTTAACTTGTCTAAATAGAGCTCGTCACCCGTACGCTTTATTCAAGCATCCACATTCATCCGGATTCATTAATACTCATTTTCCTCTTCGAATAGGCGAGTCCATAACCACTATTCTACCCTCGCAAGACTGTGGTTGAAATACACCAGCTGTGGTCATGTGACTGAGTAACCACGGTCCATCCTTGCCTGTTGTGCGCATTACCTGTATGCAGAAGGGAAATATGGTTGACTCTCAGGGAACGACTTTCTGCTGTTAGCTTTTAGTTTTGACGAATCTTGTTTAATTGAGGTTCTTCGCAGCTAGCTTCCATAACAGATAGTCGTCCACATGCCGCAAAATCAGTAGACTGCAGTTTCACCCTGTTGGGCATCGTCGATAGTGCGCATCCATCGGATATATCAGGATTCGAACCCAGCCAGCTTCTAAATCAGATAATCGTCTACATGCCGGAAAATCAGTAGATTGAAAGTTCAGCCTCTTGGGCATCGTCAGTAGTGCGCATCCATCGGATCCACCAGGACTCGAACCCATGACCACCAGCGGCTTGAATCGCCAGTCAGCAGGTTATGGCGCTGCTCAACGGGTGACAGCTTCGGACCGTCATGTTTCGCAAAATAACTCCGATACAGCGCGCCTAATCCTCCACAGCTATGCAGGTTACAAACGTTTCAGAGGACAGGGTTGGCTCTGAAAGGCACAAGGTCCAATGACCGTAGCTATGTACGATATAGCATATAGGAATTTAAGGCGGATAAATTTAGATATACTCATGATTAGGGGATTTTGATATATTTAACTGAGATTCTTCCCAGCCATCTTCTAAATCAGATAGTCGTCCACATGCCCGGAAAATCACTAGACTGCGGTTTCAGCTTGTTTGACATCGTCAGTAGTGCGCATGAACTCTTTTACTTCTCTTTGTGACCAACTCAACTGGTCTTATCCTACTGTGGTTTCATTGATGGCTTGATGCCCAGTACTTCCATCCAATCTCTTGCGAAGTCCATAGCTGGGCCGGAGAAACGCACACCACTGATGAGGGAAATATGAGGCACTTTATCCGACCCCTAGACCTCAGCATTTGGATTTGTTCAAACCGCTTCATCATTCTTTGCTAGCCTAAATCGTGCATGTTCTCACCCACTGAAGCTACTAGTGCCTGCTTTCTTGTTTATGTTTTTTCATCTAGTTCTTGCATTTTGTCCTCTCGCTTTCTTTCGATGGTTGTGAATTATTTTCTGCTTTAATATTCCGTGTGTTGCCTCGAGAATCGCCATCCCATTCCTCCTCTTCATCGCCAGATCAACAAGTATGCGTTCTCTGGTGGCGGAGATACCATTGAAGAGCATCGTGCAAAAGGTGGAAATTGCGATGTTGACGTATCTTTTCAATATCTGCGCTTTTTCCTCGAGGATGACGACCAATTGGAACAAATTCGGCAGGTATGTTTGCTTATCTTTTCTCGGATTTGGCAGATGACACTTCGGATCACTTCTTTGCTCAACTTTTCATAAATATTCTAGCAAATGGTTTCATCTTTCAACAGTTTCTGGACTGCTTGTTCGGATTCTATCATACTCTCACCATTCGAGGATGGCGATTGGCTCATCTGTAAAGAATCGAACCATCTGGCCTGACAGTTATTCAAGCAGGAGGCTATCCCAGCCAGCTGGAGCGACTCGATCCTAGCGACAACGTTCATGGAACGCGGTTACACCGTTTGTGTCAATCACAGGAGTATCTTGTATCAGTCGAGGCTAAGTTATTGACCTGCCTTTCGTGTAACGGAAATCCCGCATGAAAACATGCCGGGTGGATTTTTATGTAGATGGGACTTCATTTTCGCTTTACTCAAGTACTGCGACCGCGCTACGTGCAAGGCACATCGACCGTAACTGTGTTCCTCGACTTCAAGAGCGCATTCGGCTCAATCGTTCCCTCCACCTTTCTCAAGACAATTGACCGGAATAGTTTTGCTATTTTATTTGCTTTGTTCTCCAACACCATGTTACGTCAGCCTACGCGACGATTCGTAGGAGGCTTTGTGACTATCCAGTGCTGTTTTGTTCCCACATTTCTATCGAATGTAATCTTTCACACCCTCCTAGAATCTCGCTGTGCAAGTGATCAAGCCTTAATGTGGGGGAATAAAATTGACCCGTTTTATACCACCGACGTCATCTGACTGTTTGGCACGATCAACCCTTTACTTACTCTTCTCATCGTTATTAGCGTTTGACGTGTCATAAACATCACCAGAATGCAGAATCTTTTTGCATCACCGCATTCCGCTTACTTGCCGCTTACGTCGTAAGTGTCGAAAATTATTCCGTCTCTGCCGAAAAACGAGCAACTTTTGACCTGATGCTATCGCGACTGTATACAACAAGAGTGAACGTCCTATCCGCAATGTGCCAAAAGCGGTGACTGAGCACTTTGAAAAGTGACTTAATGGGCTGGAATTACTAGATCTGCTATCAGCCAGTCATCGCCTTCTCCCTGGGCCGTCCCGTTCGATCTGCCTTCACGCACAGAGGTCGCGTGTGAGGTCGGGCTGATGAAACTGTACAATGTCACCGGACCAGATTGGCTTCTCCCAACTCTCTCATTTCTGAGGATGTGCTCTTATGCATAACTTACACGCCTTATTAATAAGACTTTAAGGGCAGGAAACTGTCTCAACCGACTGTAGCAGTTTCATCATTGTCCCGCTTTTCAGACGGGTCTTACGTTTGCACTGTGGCTATTATAGTGGTACCAATCTGCTCTCAATTGCTTCCAGGTTGTTTGCCTCTGTTATTCTTGGTAAACTGACTAGCCTCTGAAATCTAGTTTCCTAAACAGTTTGGGCTGTACTGGCCGATGGTCGAGTAGTATGCGTGTTTGGTTTACGAACATAAAGTCACCGGTTCGAATCCGCGTTGGGGCGAGCTCGTCGCGGTATACTCAACCCACTGGTGGTGGTCGCATGGCAGCGAAGCGCCGTTACGGCGTGCAGCTGGCGATTTATTTTGTTTAATATTGGCTATCCACCATAGTCGTTCTTCGACCTCAAAGGTGCCTTCGATTCGGTTCATGAATGTGCCTTTTGGAACTGTCCGCTCAAGAAACCTATCTCCAACAAGTACTACTTTGCTAAATAAGAAACTGAACTTTTGCATTATCGCGCCAATCGGCAGAGAGACCGCACTGCGGCTACTGAGTGCATGCCAACTAACGGTCAGAGCGAAACGCCGCACACAGTAGCTTATTGTGTAAACAAACCTCTACGTTGTCACAGTAGACGGAGCGCTTTTCCTCAGCCAGGTGGCGCACTCTTTCAGAAATTGGTTTCTTTTTGCACACTAGTATTTAAATGTCACAAGACCGAACAGCGATTGCTTAATGTAAACTTGCTTCTCTTCAATATTTCCAACGCGGTGTGACAAAGATGCCCGTTGTCACCTTTTCTCTTTAACTTCACTATCGACGAAGTCATGCAAACTGCATTCACTGGACACTACTTGATGTTGTAGAGCTGCTTCTAGGCGGGCGACTTCTTTACCTGGAGTACGGGGACAATATTACCCTAATCTGCAACAGTCCCACAATCATGAAAGGTGGCGGCACTGGACAGATTGACACTGGCTGTCAGCCGTTTGAGGGCGTGCTAATCGCTGTTGTGAGCACACTTTTTAGCCAGATTAGCTACTTTGCTTCAGCATAGGTGTTCCACGTCTCTGCTCAACAGTGATGCTTCATGCCTGTGAATCCTAGGTTTTGCAACAGATCGCAGTCTAGGCGATAAAAACACTGGTGGTAGGATGAGTATCTTTCTGATTTGACCGCGACTCTACAATCAAATCGATAATCATATGGACGTAGGGGACACATGAATAACTGATACTGTAGCGACCTGAAAGTTTCCCTGATATAGATACGTCTCTGTCTCAGCTAACCGACACAACCGACTGTATTTGGGAATCCTACGATCGAATCGCTCACACTCAGTCAGCCATGAACGATAACATGATGCAACGGGCATCAGCTATCGTTACGCTGAGTAAACGCCTTAACGAAATGGTCGCTTCAGGGAATCTTAGAAAGTTCCGTTTCAAATTTCTTCCTAGATCCCAGTGTAAGACATCTTAATGCTGGTATCATCGACGGTCTGATGAAAACCTCAACTCCTGTCGACCACTCTGCTCTTCCTCTCGCAAGTTACTGGGAAATGGGTCAATCAGCACTTAGGAGTGACAGATGTAGCTTGTCGCTACAGTCGCATTTTCTTGCTTACCGATGGAGAAACGGAAGTTCACCACTTGATGTCGAGATTAGTGTTCTTCACAATGCGAAAAACTCGAACAGGAAGATGATTAGTTCATTGCGCGCAGCCAAGGGAGCCACCATTCGCGTTTATCGTCAACGCTCCCCTACGCTTAGTTTAAGCGTACAGCGTCCATTCAAATAGACTTTCTCGTCCCATGTCTTCGGACGCTAATTCTTAGCCGTGACTTCCTGCAACACTTGCACATGCTAGTAGACACGAAGCGCCGTCTCTGACCGATCGCCACAGGAACCTAGCATCTGTAGGCACTTTCACTGATTTTGCTTCAATCGGCCCTTTATACGCCAACCAATCGAGTGTGACTATCGATCTGATGCTTCTCATCAGTTTTTCGCAAATCTTCCATACAACGGAGCTATTACCAACCGCTACTGACACTGCGAAACATCCCACCATTACCTGTACTCACAAAAGTCAGGCGATTGACCCCCGCCAAGCGGAAGATCGCCGGTTCAGAATTCGAACATATGCTTGAGCTAGGCACTGTTCGTCCGTGGACGACGCCACCTCACATGCTACCCACAAAATCAGGGGACTGGCGACTATCGCGCCTAACAACTTAACCGTCTCCGACCGTTATTATATTCCTCCCACTCATGACATCACGGCTAGTCTACTTTGAACCCGTGTGTTCTCGAAAATCGATCTGGTGGGCGTTTATCACTAGATCTCAGTCGCAGAGAGAATACCGCTTTTTGGACTTTTCGAACATTTTTGCATACCCCTTGGTCTTCGTAACGCAGTTCAGAATTTTTAGCGATCCATAGATTCCGTCACTAAAGGTTTCGATTTCGTCTATCCTTATATCAAGAAATCTTACTGGTAAACACTTTCGAGTAAAAGCACGCGGAACACCTGAAGATCGTTTTTCCTCGGTCGGCTGGCAAGTACATTTTCCAGAGGCCGTCTGTCGAGTTTTTCAGACGCTATATCGATCAGCATGGTATACGGCCTTTAGACAATGGAGTCTGCGCTATGAGAGATTTTTCAGTACCGACTGCTGCAGCGGTCATTCGCCGTTTTAGCGACATGTTCAGCTACTAGTTACGTGTTCTTCCACATCATGTCTACTTACTTACTGATCCACTACGTGGACTTAAAAATTGCAAGCTTGAGTTGACGGCTGCTGCTCCTGGAACATTTAGGGCCAGAAAAAAGGCCTTGGTCGAAGTCGTTTAGCTCAGTCATTTTGATGCGAACGCCTCTCTCAGTGTTGCTCCTGACGCGTCGGACAGCGCCATTGGCTCCGTCCCACAGCAATCTACCGAGTGATGTTGTAGACTGCTCGCCTACCTATGTAAATCAAATGCAGCACGTTCAGTCACTAAGTGATGACTAGCTATTATATTCGACATGTTTGACATGCAACATGCAAGCAACTCCCTCACTATCTTCACCAACCTTAAGCCGCTTATTTACGCCTTTCGAAATCACTCAGCTCAGCACTCATTACATGAGGTCTCAGCTGTATTTTATGACCCATTTTTCTACTGACCTGCAACATTGCATCAACAACAACGACAGCAGTACATCAGCCATATGAACTGATGTTTCGCTGCCATACAACCATGGTGACCTAAGAAATGAAGAATAATATGAGGGAGTGAAGCGGGACTTACCTGAAAACCTTAATTCCCTAAACAAACATTCAGGGTCTAGGCGCCTACACCTTGCGTAGACAACATACCGTCACTAACAGTTGGCTATCGTGCAAAGATAAGACGGAATCAGCGAGACAACTTCCTTGCAGCTTTCACTGCCACGCGTCATAACCAGCCATTACCTTGCCGATAACTCAGCATCAAACAGACTCTAAATAGCCAGTCCGGCTAGGAGACTGCAGCAGACGCGTCACTGTTGTCGAATGCGAGCCATGTTCTGTAAAGTCTCGAGCCAAGTACAAGGCGAGTCACGTGGACTCCAACCCGGAAGGCGAGACGGACCAACGGCACCCAGTTGGGCAGTCAGTGACTTCATTTCACACTTCTAAGTCAACTTCTGTCCACCTCGAGCTTTGCGCCACCCTACACCTGGTAGACTAAATAAGACCCTCCCAGGTAAGCGGTGACCAGGCATACGTAACACGTGCCAGAGCCAACGCAACTTATTAAGTGCTATCTGCTGTTCCAGGGAGCTAGCATGATTATCACTACCTAGTACTCCCCTACCCACATCATCGTTTCGGACACGCTGATACCGTCCGACACCAGGAATGCTTCGCCGATAACGATGATCAAAGACTTGAAGGCACCTCAGATCTTCAGACGGAAGGGTCCAACTTTCACTACCATAGAGCTGGACGGTCCTCACTGTGGCCTTGTATACACGGCTTTTCCGACGGAAGCAAACTCTCTTCTGTCTCCAAAAATGTCGCAGGTTTAAGAAGTCAGTTCTTGCTTTTGCATTACATGAATTGACTTCAGTTTCTATGCGCTTATCGTTGTTGATGCAGCTGCCAAGGTAAGTGAAATGAGCAACAACCTCGAGTTCCTCGTTATCAAGTATTAAGGGATCATCAAGTGGCTGGTGGTCCTGCAGCAACACTTTGAAGTTGCGAAGCGGATACCATATGATGGGACCACTCTATTCAGGATTAACTGGACCGCCTGAACAGCGTCAAATATCAAGATACTATCGTCCGCATAATCAA